GTGTTTGCCAGTCAGAGGAGACCATGTGGGTGAGTGTGCACAGGTATGAGTGGATACACAGTGGACAGTCCTCTGCAGCAAATCAGATATTTTTCAAATAATTCTAATTTCAGTTTTTTCTTCTTGATATGCATCAAGGACAATGGAGTTGAGTCTGGTTTTATAGCGCTCAAAGAAAAGCTGAGGACAAGTAATCCGGGTGTAGGGTGCAAATGATACATTAACTGGAAAAGGACATTCTTTTTTGCTCTAAGAATTGAGATGTGCCCATGCTGTCGGCCAGACACCTGTGTCTACCAGGTGCCAGCACTATAACCAGCAATAGGGAAGCCCTCATCTCAAACTTGGGAGGTTAAGCTCTTAGTAACTGAGCAACAGAGAACAGTTGAAGGTGTAACTCCAGTGCCAAGGTATGTGGCAAGGCTTAGAAGTATAAGGTCAGAGACAGACCTGCCCTCCCTTACAAGCCATTAGCTGAGCCAAGATGGTGGGAGGCCGAAGTATAGTGCTTAATTTTCTGGGCAATCTCACTCACACCTCCTTCTCCAGCCAAGAGCACACACCCAGAGGGAATTGCATGGGCCTGCCACACGAGAGCTCTGAACTGGCCTGAGACCATGCTTTCAAGTGTTTTCAAGTGTTCTGACCACAACCACTATGCCCTACCCAGTAGATAACTCCATGCAGTCCTGCCGGTGTTTCCCTGGTATTCCAATTTAGAGAACACCCTTCATCAGCTGCATGGAGGGCTTTGCCCGCCATGCTGGCTGATGATGGATGAGCCAGGAGCCTATGACCAGCTTGTCAGGGAGCTTTTCTGCAATACTTCTCTCTTTGCTAAGGCACACTTGGAACCTGGATTGGCGTGTTTCACTCTGCACTTCACAGCGGGGATACGTTGTCAACTGTTACTAGTACAGGAGGAGAGGCAGAAGGAATACGAGCTAATGGTCTATATTATTTTCTAGGGATGGCCCTGAACTCCTTCCTCTTCTTTACCTGTGCAAACTCAGTGATCATCATGTCCTACTAATTCCATCCCCTTAGCTCCAAGCTTCAACTCCTCATGAATTCCCACTGTCTTTATACACACAAGCAGCCTGAGTGTGGCCTCTCTGACTTCAACAGGGATTTAGAGGACTCTTTCCTCTATCCATTGCACTATATTCCTCTCCAGCTTAAAACCTTTCCATTTGTTGGCTCTCTGTGGACCATGAGAGAAAACCCAGTCTCTCAACTTGACCAATCAGCCTCTACAAGGCCTGTGACTCCTTGCCAGTCTCCTCAGGGAGCATACTCCCTAGCTAGTGGACTTGCTAGGCTCCTTCCCACCCCTCCCCTTTACATGAACTCTTCTATTCCCTCTATATTCTTGCCCCCAAATGCCTGGTAAACTTGTCTTTCAAAGTCTAGATGAAATGTCCTCCTTTGTGAGGTTATATAAAAACACACTCCTCTTTCCCCAGGCACGGTTGGTAACTTTCTCTCTGTGGTGGCATTTGTCACTCACAGTGAGTGGACTGCCTGTCTCCACTGGTGGCTATGTGGTTCCCTAGTGACAAGGAGTTCTAGTACCTACAGAATCCTCAGTGCAGAGTGCAGTACTGGTCCACAGCATGGTTTGAACTTTGGTCAAATCAATGTATCTCATTCATCCACCAGCCCATTCTGGCCTCAGTCCTCACCTGCTGGGTTCTCAGTGCATCCAGCTCTCTCTCCAGCCAGGTCCGCAGCCTCCGCTCCATCTGCTCTCGCTTCTCACAGGCAGACTGCAGCTGAGTCAGGGCCTGCTGCAACTTCTCAACTTTCTCCACATATGCTTGCTTCTCCCGTAACTAAGCAGAGAAGAATGAAAAAGAGCACTGAATTTAGCCCAGTGATTCCCAAAGCTGGAGTAGAGGTGAGTGTCAGCTTACCTGGAAATCGGATTTAAACTATAGGTGTGTATATACCCTACTTCTATCCCTTGTTCTAGGACTGAAAAGATCTACACAAAGGTCATTAGTTTGTTTAAAATGACCAGGACATTTGGAATTGAAGACCCTGGTGAGGCACCTGCTCTTTGTAGTCTATGCAGCTCTGAGCTCAATGCTTGGTTACTGCTTAATAATTACAGCATTTGCAGGCACTGGAAATGAGGTTAATAATGAGTATTTAATATCATGAAGAAATGTTCATTTTATAATGTTAAATGAGAAATCTAGAATAAAAATTACAATGCTATCACAATTATGTCTATAGATCCAAGAAAAAAAAGACCAGGAAAAATAATTACTGCATCAGCTGTATTTATCCATATGACAGAATAGTAATATAACTATCTATGACACAAAGGCTACTGCGGGGTTTGAGTCCCAGACCCAGAGGCCTGAAAAACATGCTGGGCATATGTGTGTGCATTCCCAAAAATCTCAACGTGAGAGATGGAGGAGAAAAGATTGCAGAGTGACTCTCCCCCATAGAGGGTACTTATTCTCTCTCTCTCTTTCTAGTGAGCACACATGCCCTCTAACAACAACTACAAGAAAGTTAAAATTATTTCTGTAAATTTTATATCAGGTATGGACTTAGGACTCCTCTTTCCCCAGGCACGGTTGGTAACTTTCTCTCTGTGGTGGCATTTGTCACTCACAGTGAGTGGACTGCCTGTCTCCACTGGTGGCTATGTGGTTCCCTAGTGACAAGGAGTTCTAGTACCTACAGAATCCTCAGTGCAGAGTGCAGTACTGGTCCACAGCATGGTTTGAACTTTGGTCAAATCAATGTATCTCATTCATCCACCAGCCCATTCTGGCCTCAGTCCTCACCTGCTGGGTTCTCAGTGCATCCAGCTCTCTCTCCAGCCAGGTCCGCAGCCTCCGCTCCATCTGCTCTCGCTTCTCACAGGCAGACTGCAGCTGAGTCAGGGCCTGCTGCAACTTCTCAACTTTCTCCACATATGCTTGCTTCTCCCGTAACTAAGCAGAGAAGAATGAAAAAGAGCACTGAATTTAGCCCAGTGATTCCCAAAGCTGGAGTAGAGGTGAGTGTCAGCTTACCTGGAAATCGGATTTAAACTATAGGTGTGTATATACCCTACTTCTATCCCTTGTTCTAGGACTGAAAAGATCTACACAAAGGTCATTAGTTTGTTTAAAATGACCAGGACATTTGGAATTGAAGACCCTGGTGAGGCACCTGCTCTTTGTAGTCTATGCAGCTCTGAGCTCAATGCTTGGTTACTGCTTAATAATTACAGCATTTGCAGGCACTGGAAATGAGGTTAATAATGAGTATTTAATATCATGAAGAAATGTTCATTTTATAATGTTAAATGAGAAATCTAGAATAAAAATTACAATGCTATCACAATTATGTCTATAGATCCAAGAAAAAAAGACCAGGAAAAATAATTACTGCATCAGCTGTATTTATCCATATGACAGAATAGTAATATAACTATCTATGACACAAAGGCTACTGCGGGGTTTGAGTCCCAGACCCAGAGGCCTGAAAAACATGCTGGGCATATGTGTGTGCATTCCCAAAAATCTCAACGTGAGAGATGGAGGAGAAAAGATTGCAGAGTGACTCTCCCCCATAGAGGGTACTTATTCTCTCTCTCTCTTTCTAGTGAGCACACATGCCCTCTAACAACAACTACAAGAAAGTTAAAATTATTTCTGTAAATTTTATATCAGGTATGGACTTAGGATCATGACCACCATCTTCAAACTCTTACCCTCAGACTTTATTTTCTTCTATTTCAGAGTTTGGCCCATGCTCATAAATCCCAGGCACATTTCTAACTTTGTGAGACTTGATGGTGCCTAAAATCAGGTTGAGGCATTTACTTAAGCTGGTCTTGGGTAAGAAGTCACCAGAAGCTCTTTCCTGCCATATTGTACCTGGGTGCAGTGATGCCACGCAGGTGGTTCAGTTCTGAGGTTAACCCACGATTACACTGGCAAGTTGCAACACACTAGTGGTTTAAGAGCTCACTGAGAAGTGAGATTTCTGACTTGCAGGCAGTGCTGCCATGAGCCATGCCTGTATCCTAGCCTAGCCTATCCAAGGCCACGGGAATAAAATGGAGGCACTTCTGATCTTTCAAGGAGGAGACAGTAACTTTATAGATTTTCTATATCAGCTTTCATCTGGCTTTTTCATTCATTGTACTTTTGATTGCTCAATTCAACTGAATAGTCTTTTGACGGTCTACTAAGTGCAGCTTCCTTTACTTCTTAAGGGCATCATCTGATCAAATATTTTGCATGCTCCCTTCACACACCACTTACTATGTCCTCCACTGTCTATAGTCTTGTGAGTATGTAGACATTAGAACTAAGTGTGATAAGATCTATTTCGGTCCCTGCTGGGCATAGTGAGCAGTGTGTCCCCAGTAGCTGGAAGAAGGCCTGGCATCGTTCTGCTTCCTTTCTCTTTGTATCAGCCGTAAGCCTAGCAGTGAATTGTGATGACGATTAGTAACAGTAATTATTTCTATCAGCCAATATTTGTGAAGCACTACTACACCAAACCTGTGTCTTATATGTAGGAGCTCACTTCATCTTCCAATTGTAAGACGTTAAGCCCTTTATTGTGACCATTGAAGAGATAGAAAAACTGGACTGAGAAGGTAAGTGACTTGCTCAGGGGCACACAGCTGACACACAGGGAACCTGCGACTCCAGAGTGTACTCTTACCGACCACAGTAATTATGGCAAGCTCTCATTACAAGTCTTCTGAGCTGAAAAAATACCCTTCGAAAGAAACTTCCATAAGAACAAGGAGAGGACCGAAAGCCAAACACACATGACATTTCAGAAAGCCTACATTCGACCAAACAGTTTACATAAATAATAATGGCAGAAAAGTCTCAATGGTGACTCTAAAGCCCTATTTGTCAAAGGGCTCCCATCTAACTTCTACTTTAATAGAAGTATTAAAACTAAAAGATTTTTAAAAGTCTAGTTTTCCAGGCTAGCCAGGTGGTGTGGTGGTTAAGGCAGTTAGAGCCCACATGGCCAAGTGCATGGTTTGAGTCCTGAACCTGGCAGTTTGGAAAACTCACCAGTGTGTGGACATCCATGCCCAGAATCCCAAAAGGAGAATGAAGGAGAAGGGACTATGGTGTGGCCATCCTCCCTGGGGTAGGAGGTAATTTCTCACCTTCCCTTTCTCTCTCTCTCTCTGTAGAGCACATGCGCCCTACAGACAAAAACAAACAAAAGAGTCTAGCTTTTAGCTCCACAGTTAAGATGGGGATTCAAGAAGTAAGTTCAGTAATTAACACTAATAAGGGGTTCTGGCCTCTTCTCTTCAAAACAGATCGCCTGTCCATAAGGGGCTTCTATGGTGAATGAGTTCTTGTTTAGTGAGTTCAAGGAAGATTCTCTGGATCCCTGTCCAGGATCCTCATGCTATTGATAGTATTAAAATTATACACAGGACTTGGGATTGCTGTTTAAAGGGCATCGAGTGGGCACAACCCTTGTTTACTTAATAATCTTCCTCTTTAGCTGTGTTATCCTTCCAATGGAGGCATTCCAGTTACCATCAGGAGATATTTTCTTAAGATGTTTTTCAACAATGACAGTTGTATGACTAATGACACTCTTACTATGTGCCAAGCACCAGCCTGAGTATTTATGCAGACCTTCTCTTCCACTAAGCTTCTACTCTCTAAAGTCGATCCTGCTCAGGTCAGCCCCCAGAACACAGAGCCAGCTGTTGCTGCTATGGAAACTGGAAGGTCAGGGTCTCAGGCTTCGGTCTGCTGCTGATATTTCTCCTCCTTTTCTGCCTCTTTGTCTACAGGCTGACACTCCGAGCTTAGATCTCAGAAATTGTTGTTCTACCTCCTCAGTCAGAAAGTACCTCACAAAACTTAAGCTAAAGGTTTGGCTTCATCAGAAACTACTACACCCATAAAGCTTGAGTAGGATCAAAATGCCCTAGATGGGAGGGTCACTGCATGGCCAAGCCAACTTCGGGAAACTGGAATTGAACACCACCCTCACTCCACCTCCATCAGAAGACTTTTGCCTTTTTCTACGCAACTGAGAACCCACAGACACAACAACTGAACCTTTATTTTTATTATTTTTTTAAATCGTTAAGTTTCTTTTCTCTATAGGCACTTGTCATTTCCAGTCCTGTCCTTTATTTCCGGCTCTGGACACTTGCCAATCGATAGGCTGTAGGTGGGACTCTGGGCTCAGTGGAAGTGCTTTGCTGATGGTCTTCACATGCGCCTTTCAGACTTTGCCTGGCTCTAGGATGAATAAATTGTTTCTATTCATTTTTGTTTGGGAGATTTCTCACATCCCTCCCCTGCCTCAACACCTTGGAATTGGCTCTGGTTCAAGTAGCTGGGTTAGGAATAGGAAGTGGAGGCCCTCCAGGTTCTGCCCACCCCATCCTCCTGGCCTGAGCTCACCTCCTCTTCCAGCTTGATGACTCTGGCCTGGGCATTGCTCAAAGCCTGGTCCAGAATCTCGATGTGTCTCCGATGGTCATCGCTTGCAGTCCGCATGGCCGCTAACTCCATTTCTAACTTCTCCTTTTCCTTCAAGAATTCTTTGTCTAGAAGAGAGACAAGAACAAAACTACCCCTTATCATAAAGTGTTCACCCTCTGGGCTCATTGCCAGCCTACATCTGGTAAGGATTAAAATAAAATAGCACACAAATTGTAGAGGGTAGAATTACTGCTTCTGCTCCCTCTTAATAGAAATAGTGTGTAAGGTAAGGATTTTCTCAAAACCACTGTTAACTCTAGACACATTCCAGGTCCCAGGTGCAGAGAGGAAGAGTACAGAAAGAACTAGTGAGCCCATATTCCTGATAACTCACTCCCTCCAGCACTGACTTTAATATTTCAGATTAATCTCATTCCCATTATTTTACTTTGTGCTCATAAACTCTCCGTTTCCATATTCTAAGCCTGTGATAAAGGACGAATAACATTAATATCAATATTACACTCATAGAAAAACAGACCAAGGTCCAGAGAGGTGAGTTTCATCTGAGGCCAGACAAAGGCAAGCCCAAGCCTCCAACTCTGGCTGGATCCTCCTCCCATGTGACTTGGCCTAATCCTCCTCCCATATGATCTGTCCCACATATTCTCCTAGACCTGTTCAAGAGGGAAAAGGACAATGCTCTGGATTTAGGAAAGTGACTTCTCCCTCATTTGGCCACAGAATGATGTGATCACCCCATCTTTTTGCATATGGGAGGTCAAGGCTGGTATGCTCTGCTGACCTCTATCCACCTTCCTCCAGGGACTTTGCTATTGTTTTAGCTCAGGCAGTCAGGGTCTATAGTGCCACGGGATGAGCAATTCTTACTGAAAACATTTTTCCTATTACAAAAGCAAGAGGTTTTTTTGTTTGTTTTTAAGAAAGAGATTTTTGCTATAGGGCATGTGCATTCACCAGAGAGACAGACAGAAAGCAAGAAATCACCCCCTGCAGGGGACATGGTCATGCCACAATCTGTCTCCTCCATCCTCTCAGGATTTTGGGCACGTGCACACACGCACTCGGCATGAGTTTTACGCCACCAGGTCTGGGACTCAAACGGTGGTAGACTACGTGGGAGTCCAGCAACATAACTATTACACCATCTGCTGGTTTCAGCAATAAATTTTTCTTTTAAAATAGTTTGAATATTTAATACATTTATAATATGGAAAAATTTGGATAAGCTTAATGTGTAAGAATAACAGCTTGGTTCAATAAACTACTGAAAGCTCTACAATAGAATAAGATGTGGCCATTAAAATTAAATAAGAATATATTAGTGACAGAAAATAGTTATTGAAAAAAGGTGGTTATAAAACTATACGCACACTATTCCATATTCATAGAAAATGAGGCATATAATTACAACAAAGCAGCAACAAGAGTAGTTAGAAATTGATTTTTATGTGTTCACACCATGAGAATGCTTCATACCAGATATCTTACTCCTTCTAGAAACCCACACTACAATACAGACAGCCCAGTCTGGAAGCTACACAGTGGTTGTATTCATTCATAATTTCATCCTATAGTCAGTTATTAATTTAGCAAACAGTTATCAGACATAAAAGACTGGCATGATGGGCTGTGAAGCAATAGAAAGAGTTTTACACTAAAGGAGCAGAAAACATGGTTTTGAATACAGGGCATGACAACTGAATGGCACTGTAAGACTGCAAATATCAGATAACAAAACCCACAATTTGAAAGCCAGAGGAGATCACAGGAAACATCAGCATCCAGTTCTATCCTCTTTGCTGCAGGGGTGAGGAAAGAGAAGCCTGGAGGAGTGGAGTGACGGCACTTGTCCCAGGTTCCAGTGCCAGCTGGGGCGGTACTAGGGCCAAGACCAGGTCTCCTCATGTCCCATCACAATGTCCTTCCCTTTTTTCCTTGAGAGGTTTTTGCTATAGGGCGCGTGCGCTCACCAGAGAGATAGAGACAGACAGAGAGACAGAAAGTGAGCAATTACCCCCAGGGGGATGACCACGCGGCAATCCCTTCTCCTCCATTCTCCTTTCAGGATCTTGGGCACGCACACACATGCACCCAGTGTGAGTTTAAGCCACCGAGTCCAGGACTTGACCCATCGTCAACTACATGGGAGTTCAGCGACCCAGCCATTATGCTAACTGCTGGTCCCTAAAGTCCTTCCCTCTTGACTGACCACCCTTGCTTTGTGAAACTATGTTGATGTAGCCAGAGGGCAGTGGAACAGCTTCTGAACTGACAGCTGAATGAGCAGACTTCTAAAGCTGAGTAGTGGCTGAGCTTCCTAGAAACAATGGCATTCCCTGGAAATAAAATGAGGCCACCCAAATCCTGATTCAGAGCAGAGCACTACTTTTGGGCACCTTCTGCCCCACTGCAGGAGCAAATTGCCGTCCCCCTCTTCCGCTTCAGTGGCATTTGAAATACTGCCTCCAAAACTTCTTCCCCATTCCATGGAAAACAGGCATGCCCGAGACCCAAACAATGGGTCAGAAGTAGCCTGAGCTTTGGGTCCCTCAATCCAACCCTGAATGGACCACAGTATCTCTCTGTTTCTGTGCGAAGTCACTGATGTTTTAGCACCCGCTCCCTGGTATTGGGCAACATCTCAACAGATATGGTGCCACTGGCCACGTGCAGGCTCTGGAGAGCACTCAGGAGTTACTAAGCAGGCATGCCTTAGAACAAAACACTGGATTTCAGAGCATCTACCTGGTATCAACCTAGGCAAATCTCTTTGTTGAGGGCAGTCAAGTACATACTGATTTTGATTAGAAGCAATAAAATGATAGACTGGACTCAAAAATAGAAGTCATAAGCCCAGCCTTGGGGCTCGGTCAGTAGATGACTAAAGCATAGCATTGGAAGGCCCATGGCCAACCATGGATTCAGATCCCCTGGCTGGCCTGAAAACATGCCGTGCATGTACACATGTGCTCAAGACCCTGACAAATAGAGGGCTGAGGGAAGGGGTATCTTAGTATGATAAGAATAGAAGCCACAACCAAAGCTTCTTGTGTTTTGCAAATCAATGATCACAATTATTGCTATGTTATAATGACAGTTATTTGGATAGAGTTCTGAATTAACAAATGTCTCTCTCCACCAAGGATTGGAGTAAATGCTTTTAATATCTCCTTGACAGACAGCATCAATTGTGACTGAAGAATGGACTTTAGCACTGGAAAGACCTGAATTTGAATCCTGCATTCTGCTCTTTCCCGTTATGAAGCCTGAGGTGAGGGATTTAACCTCTCTGAGCCTCAGCTCCCTCCTTTATGAAATAGAAATGGGGACATGCATATAAAGGTCGTTGTGATGACTGTTAGTGAAGATGATACATAGAAAGTACAAATGGACCTGAGTATTCAAGACTATCTGGTTTGGCCATTAGACATCTCCTGAGTCTATAAGAGTGTCTGACTCAATAATATTGATGAATGAACAAACGGGTCTCTGTTATACACCAAGTTCAATGCCAAATGAACACATCGTAGCACTCACTATCCATGCGCTCTTCTGGTGGCCTCTGCTACACAGCTTTCTACTCTACCTCCAAAGCCGCTGTTTATCGGATGGCTGGGATTGACTCTGGATCCCCTGGTTCCCTCTGCCCATGCTCCCTAAGCACCAACGTGAAAGAAACTATAGGACAAAGATGTGGATATTGAATAAAGGCCCCATTAGCTCTGGAAAGTTTTGTGGGCCTCTGACATTCATGGTCGAAACATCTTTGTCCTGAGTTTGGTGACTTAGGTTTCAGGCTGCAGCAAGATCTTTTAGTATCACTCACTGGCTCAGAAGGTCCTGGCCACTGGTAGGAAATACTCTTCTCCAACATGAAGTTTTAAAAAGTGTTCACAACAATACTGATTTCCTGTATTATGCTATTTTCCTTTATTTTAAGTTTATTGTATGAAGTAGGCACCATTACTATGTTTTTTAAGAGATATTTATTTAGTGGGTTATTTTTTCCTTTTTGTTTGTTTGTTTGTTATTGTTTTTAGGTTTTGCTATAGGGCACGTGTGCTTACCAGAAAGAGAGAGAAGAAAAGTGAGAAATTACCCCCAGGGGAGATGGCCACATCATAATCCCCTCTCCTTCAGTCTTCTCTCAGATTTTGGACACACATGCACACATGTCTGGCATGATCCTCAAGCTACCAAGTCTAGGGCTTAAACCACCCAGTCGACCATGTGGGATCCAGCACCTCAACCTTTATGCCACCTGCTGACCCTATTATTATTATATTTAAGTTGAGGCAAATAAAACTAAGAAGTGACAAGGAACTTGCCCACTGAAGTGATACTCACAGATGCAAGAGGCAGAAGTTTTGTCTATATCCTTCCAATGCATGTTCACAAAAGTGGTCCTATACTGCCTCCCCATGCGAGCATACATAGAGAGGAACTACAGAATAAGAGAAGCAGAGTAACAGAGAAGCCCCACTGCAATCTCGCTTATTACTGCACAGATTTAAGGATGTCAAGGGTCATATCATATTTTTCAAAACCGAGCAATTATATTTACATGTATATCCCTTTGTAGCTATTAATTAAGCATCCGGTATATGGAGAAATCACAGAGTATTGGTTAAAAGCATGGCTTCAGAGTCAAACTGCCTGGGTTCCTATCTAGATATACCACTATGGTTTCGTGACTTTGAAGTAAACATGCCTTTTTGTGCCTCAGTTTCTCTGCCTTTAAAGGATCAGAAAGTAAGTGCCTATTTGGAAAGGAAACAGTAAATAAATGCCAACTCTGCTAATACTGGGGTTATTACTGTTGCTCCAGGAAGTGTGATGAATTCTGGGCCAACAAGGTTAGCAGGACAAATATTCGGCTGTCTGGCAGGAAGGAAGCAAGGACACAGACAAAGGCACAAAACGAGTTGCTGTATCAGAGACAGGTGCTAGGAGAACACAGAGGGGACATCTACTTTAGGCTAGGAGGCACGGAGGAGGAGTCAGGCAGTGAGCCCACAAGACAAGCAGCTGTGTTCTCCAGCTCCTTGGAGACATGAGGACCCAGCTATGTCAGGCTCATCCTAAGAAGTCATTCCTTGGA